TTTTTTTGGAAGAGACAGTAAACTTTCATTGAAGATATAATCGCATATCACACTGAAAACTTTTGAAATTCAATTTATTCAAAGATCTTGCCACTAAGGGTTATCAATATAGACAGTTTTGGAGTGTAGGTGTGGGTGTGAGAGATTGTAAAAAATAGACTTACACGCACAATATCGACTCACACTCATACTCTCAGGAGCTTTCGAATTTCAAACTTTGCACAAAGACAAGTCTAAACAAGAGTAGTTTCTTGCAAATGTGTTAGATCTGATCGTTGCTCCTATATTAAGATACAACTTAAAGACCTTGAAACTGTCACAATAAACTACCTACATTAAGGCTTGTATTGGCACAAAGTGTCAAGTTGAAATTCAAAAATCAGTTTTCCTAATGTTTCTGAGAAGAGTCACAGGATTTATTTAAAAACTATGGCAAAAGTGCAGCATCTCTGCAGCAATAAACTGAGGGCCCCGGGTCTTGTCAGAGTATTCACAGTTCATTAGATTCTACATATTGCACATAATCGCGACTAAAGAACGATTAAGCAGTTGGAGAATTACTCCTCTTTAGTCAAATTGGTAATTTTCTTTGAATTACTCTTTTCGTCTTTTAAGAATAAATAAGAAACAGTTATTGACTTACATCTAAATCTTTATCGTCAAGTAACGGCTGTTCAAGATAATTTCTATCATGTATATCAGCTTCTAATTGTCTTTCAATTTCTTCATCCATTTCTGCTTCATCAGCTACCATACGATTTGATTCCTTTCAAAGAAAAGAAAAAATAAATACAATGAACAAGAATTTTTTCTTATTTACATCTAATTTTTTCATTAAAACAGCAACAACAACATTGACAAGAACAAATTGAGCCATAAGAACAAAAACAACAAAATATATTGGTGCTAATGCAGTCATAAATTGATTTTTAACACCATGTGGTGAATCATCGCTACGTAGAGCATCCTTTTAAACAAATTTATATAATGTTAGAAAAAAAAAAACATTATTTATATCAAATTACATACTTTCATAATACCATTCCAATTATCACCTGTTGCAATACGAAATAATGTTAAGAATGCCATACCAAAATCTTTGAAATGTGCATGTTTATCAAGACCAGAACAAAGATGTTCATCATTACATTCTAATTTGCCGAATAATTCAACACCCAATGCAGCAAATATAAAGAAAAGAAGGAAGAATAAAAGACCCTAAATAACGAAATTTTTTTAATATAAATTTCAAGCGAAAAATATTTTTAATTTACCAAATTTCCGACTTGTGGAAGGGCTTGAATTACAGTATCTAATAAGGCTCGAATGCCGGTTGCCATTTTTAATAATTTAAGAACTAAAATAAAAACAAAAAAATGATGTTAGTATGATTCAAATCTAAAATAGGATCGAATTGAATTTATTGTAAAGAGGGAATCTCTCCAGGTGTTAAATTGCTTTACGATCGAGATGATGTTCATTTGATGAGTACTAGTGAGTAGTAGGAAAGTCTAGAGCAGTTAGATTTTTCGAGCCTTTGTTCTTGAGATATCGATATGTTACTGGATTTTTCAACAGAAGACCATGATTTCTCTCAGATCATATGAGAGTTTCCAATTCACACTTTGCACGAACAAAGCTCGTAATGTGATTAGTCTATTATATTCTGGGGATATAAATATCTGAACAAATTTTACTTTTAGACATAAGACAATTTCAAATATTGAATATCTCAGGATAAGTGACACTAGAAAATTTCGAACTTGTCCAATGAACTAATCTCATTAAGAACTTTGTTCGTGCAAAGTCTAATGTCGAAACAGTAACATAATCTGCGGGAGACTACAGCCTTTTTTGAAAAATCCAGTAAAGTTTCAATATCTCAAAAACGAAGGTATGGCAAATCAAAATAATTCTAATTTTCTATTACTCACCAGTACTCATTGAATGAACATCTTCTCGGTCGAAAAGCGATTTCATACCTCCAGAGCTTCTTCCGTAAGTCTGAAATATTTTCGTTTGGAATATTTTTGCTTGTTTTTATTAATCAACTGATAATAATCGCATCTAAAATCGAACTCGAACGTTCCGGTTCGGTGCATTAGTGCTTTATCCAGATTTTCTCTTTCAAATGAGTGATTTAATACTCCTAGAAAACTAGTCCGATTTCCGGAGGGACGCCATCCTCTCAACACCTATACTGGACAGAATACTACATTGCGTACCTAAGTAACAAGTAAGAAGTCATTATATATTAACTCAAATAGATTATTTTTTCTTATTGGCTCGCTGTTTACTTGATTTTGGTTTCATGAATACACAAAAAACGAAGCTCTACATTAAATCAACTAATGAAAACAAAACAAATCACAATAATCAACAATACTGTGCGTTGAGATATGAATAAATTTTAACAATTTTCATTCTAAGAATAATCTTCATCGATAACATATGTATTATATTGATTTAATAGACTTGAGATTTACCTCGAGCAATTCTTAACACTCTCATAACACGAATAAGTGTTGGATTAATTGGAAGTACTTGTCCACTTTTCATTTTCTCCATAACAATACCAGCGATCGATAAAATAACAATCATTGTATCTAATTGATTCCATCTTAATATTAAATAATAAATTATTAAATTACAAAAATAAAAACCTTGTTCATTTTTCTTACTTGTCTTTAAAATAACGTAATGGTCCAAGTGCAATAATTTTCGATATTGATTCAATTATGAATACAGTTGTAAATACATAATTACAATAATCAAGAGCTAAATCGAAAATCTATTCGAACCAATAATAAAAAGACAAAATAACAATAAAATTTCATTTTATAGTTTTACTTCTTACCGGTGGCATTAAATAAAATTCTAATGACATTGTAACAACATTAAGACCAATAACAGCAGCAATAATTAAATCAAAATATTTACTATTACATATATCATGTAAACGTCTTCTCCATGGTGAAAAATGTGCATAATATGGTATTTCGCGCATACGACGTCGTTTTCGTTCAATTTTTTTTGCTCTTTTAGCTGTACGTCGTGCTTTTTCTTCACGTTCTTGTTCAGCACGACATTTATGAAAATTTTCAACAACAACACCAACAAACATATTTAAAACAAAAAAGCCAACAAGTAATAAAAATGATATAAAATATATTAATTTAGCTTCATTATGATTTCTTATTGGTTGCATGTCAACGTCAACAGCATCAATACCATTATACATTATTTGTACCCAACCATCGCGTGATGCTAAAACAAATAATGCAAGTAATGCCTAAAAGAAAACAAAAAAAAAATAGCGAATTTTTTCAAAGAGATTTACTAATTAAAACACATACTTGGCCTAAATTATCAAAATTATATTGTTGATTTTTCCAACGATGATCAGACATTTCTTCACATTGTCGTTTCGTTGTTACATTACGAGCAAGTGGACCTTCACAATAATAAAATTTTCCTTTGAATAGCTATTCAAAATGCAAAAAGAAAAAAAAAGAATAAATTATATAGCTTTGTAAAAAAAAAAAAAAAAAAAGAATAGGATTATCACTAAAATTAAGGAAAAGATGTAGGCGGTTCAGATTCATACTATGTAAGATTTATATTTTTGAAATTTTCAACATAATGAGAACTCCACAGATTGTGGTTCAGAGTCCAGTCAGTTCTTAGTAAGTACAAAGAGTTTAAGAATGAATAATCATCAATATATAGCAAATTCGTTTTCCTATAAACAATGGCAACCTCGATATAATCTAATCAACACATCCTACTCATGATTAGAAATATGCAGAACGAAGCTTTTTTGATTCTAGTCGTGATCCAGTCCCTGCAAAATTTTCCACTGATTCCGCTCATTATGTCTCATGAGTGCATTTCTCCAACTAATAAATCGTTTTTGAATAGAGACTATGTGTATGATGTAGATGCAAGTGAACTATAAATATTCTGAAAGGAGTTTCGGCTTTTAACTTATCGCTGTATAGATACTGTATTTTTTAAGTTGTTTTTTAAAGGAATATCGTGTTTGCAGTTCATTATGAAAGCTTCATGTCTTTTGATTGTTTTCTATCCTGAAATAAAAACATTGCATCTGCTCTTGTATATAAGCGATGTAAAAGACACTTCGTTACCATAGCTGTATCTTAGAAGAGGAACAACGAAAAGGCCTAAAATTTTCATGAGAAACTATTCTCGTTAATGCCTGCTTCTGTGGAAATTTTCAAGTTGAAAATCGATTTTTATAGTGTTCCTTTGGGGGACTATAGCATTCATTTTAACAAATACCGTAAAGGTATGGTATCTATGCAGCAATAAGCTAATGGAATGAGTTCTTTTCAGGATATTCATAACTTATTCGGATCTATAAAATGCACATAGTCTTGAGTCAAAAGCGATTTATCAGTTGAAGAATTTGCCTTGTTAATATATCTGGTTTACTCTCGGTTCGAGTAGCTTCTTTTCTAGTAATCTTGATCTCAATTTTTGTCCTGGTCTAGAGAAAACTATTCTAGAACTTATTCGTATGACATTTAAAAGAATCCTTCAATAGTCGTTTTTTTGGGTCATGTCTCTTGAATTATGTTCTGATTTATATGATTAAATAAGATAGTTTGCTTAAAATCTTAGAATATTTTAGTTTAACTTTTAGTTCTAGTTGGAACAACTTTTTTTCTCGGAGTCGACATATCTTCAAATTTTGGTCCTGCACATCTCTACTCATGACTTCAATTGATATAGTTTCAGTCTCGAAAATAATTTATAATTCATTTACCTGAACACCAAGAATACCAAAAATGATAAAAAATGTACAACAAATAACAACAATATGACCGATTGGTCGTAATGATGAAAGTAATGTTTGAACGACAAGTTTCAGACCAGGTGCTCGGCTAATAACTATAAACAATAAAAACATAATTTCAAATAAAAATTAACACAAACCTTTGCTTACCTCTTAATGGTCTTAATGTTCTTAATAATCGAAAAACTCTTAACATGCTAAATATTCGTGTTGTTGCATCAGATTCAGAATGAATGAGTACCGTTGAGCTACCTCCACGAGGCGTTGTTGCAAGATCAATAATAGATATAATAACAAGAAATCCATCCATAACATTCCAACCAGTATGTAAATATGTATGTGGTCCACATACAAGTCCACTTGCAATTATTTTTATTATCATTTCAATAGTAAATATAACTGTGAAAATATAGTTTGTAATGTTTAAAAATTCACGTTCCTAAATGAAAAATACAAAAACGTTTCTTTCATTTTATTCTTTATCTTTTTTCATCTATGAAGAACATACAAAACTTATTTGTGGTATTGATGGACGTTCCATAGCAAGTGTTATACAATTAAGAGATATAAAAAATAGAATGGAATAATCAAATGATTTTTGTGCAATTAAAGATTTTAATGCTTTACGTAATCTATAATATGAAGTATATTTGATTTAGAAAAATAAAGTGAAAAGAAAAAAATTTTATTTACCGATTTTCTGGCGAGAAAAGATAAAGTGAATAACTGTCACGTTTTTTTAAATAATGAAAAATCCGTTCACCACATAAACGAATTAAACATGCTCGAAAAATCTAAATGAATCATTTGAGATATTTATTCCAAAATAATTCAAAAAACAAAAATATGCATCAAATCCGAGAACATTTCTTGTTACTTATTATTTGAATAGTTCAAAATAATGGAATTGTCCAACTCTTCAACTCGTTAGTAAAAATAAAATGAATTGGTATACTTTGTTAATAACGAGTGGTGCGAAAGTTTATTGGCAAAATGTTTCCTCATTGTTCGACAGATTGCCGAAGTCAGTAGAAAATTTAAATCGTTGGGTTAGAATTAAAACTTTTTGTAGAACTTCTAGTTTACGAGTTATGAGCTGACTTTTTAGAAGCATGAAAATTAAATTTCCACGGAGAAGATTGACGTTTTTTTTGCTGCTATAGTCTCTGCTACTGATTTCTCATGCTCACTTTGCAAATTTGTTTTCAATAGAAGTCGAAAAGATTGTCTGAATTGGCACTGCGTTTCTTACCAAAACACTCGCTGTTAACAAGTTACTTAGATCTAATTAATCAATAATATAATATTTTATTGTGAAATATTTGTTCTATCATTCACTACATTTGAAATAATCTTCACTTTGACTTTGGATAATTTTTGACACGCTCAAGATTGTCCAATCTTAATTTACAAGCCTCTAAAAGGTTGATTCAAGACTTCTAAATCAGAAATTCTTCAAACATTGTAATCCCATATTCAGAAAGAACACAAAATTCTGATTCTAACTCAATGTTTCCAAATTTCTGTAGACTCTCTAAAAAGGCTGATTATGGATTAGATTGGTGAAAAAGGTTTTGTTTTTCGGAATCTCCTAAGTCAAATTCTGAAATTAATGAAGCTCGAAATTGTTGGATTTGATACATAATTAGATAGTATTTAAATTGTTGACTTACTCTAAGCTGTGGTTTTTTTTTCCTTTTAATATCTAATTGCATATCACTTTGATCATTGATAATTGATTGTGTACTTAAATTAATATCTGTAACTAATCGAATAGAATTATTTGAATTAGTTTTGATATATTGTTCATTATCTTCAGGTTTTGGTGTTTCATATGTAGTTGATGTTTCGATTTGTGTCATTGGATATGATGAATTATCAAATGTTGATCGCCGTTTTATAACCGGTTGTGAATTATTAATATCTTGTTCAACTAATTTTCCATCACGTAAAATAAAACGTCTTAATATTTTAGTTGATGATGATGATGACGATGGACGATAAGAATTTGTTCGTCGTACAGGTAAGGATTTTTTTTGTCGTTGTTCATGACTTATTTGTGTTAAAGAATTTCGTGCATTTTTTTCTGCATATGGTAATGGTGGTGGAGGATCTGTTATATGTGGAATAAAAGAATTTCGTAATGATCTATTAAAACTTGGTGTTGGCATATTATCATTATTAAAATATGTAAATGAACGATTTTTACGTAAATCATGTTTTTTTTTCTGTGTATTATCGTTTGAATTATTACTTGACTGTAATGTTGATGCTGTTGATATTGTACCACGTCGTTTAAGACATTTTTGTTCATTTATAGATGTTTGTGTTTTTGATATATCTTCCAAATTTGATAATTCTGAAACATCATTTTCAGTATCATTTTCATCAATAGTTTGTTTTTTTATTTGAAATTGATCAGATGCTTTATTTTTTTTAAATGATTTTCTCATAGGATCATTTGAAAGATTTGAATCAAGACGTGTTTGACATGTATAATAACTTTGTGTTGTTGATGTTGATGATGGTGTTTGTGGTTGTGATGAACGATTTTTTATTATAGATTTATATGGTGATGGTGGTGTTGGAGTTTTATTTATTGGTTGTGAGTGTGTTTCAAATATTTTTAAAGTTGAATCATATTCATTACTAATAGCAATTTTTGGAATACTCATTATTTTTACTTCTATAATAAGAAGAAAGATTTTTCTTTTATCTTTCTATTTTATTAATAGATCAAAAAAAATTTATTAACCTTTTGTTCGAAAATTTTTATTTTCAATCGTACTATTTTTCACACTTGGTATATCATCGGTAATTAATTCATGTGGATTTGCTGGTATTTCAAGATCACCTGTGAAAAGTGCTTGTGTCTAAATGATAATAAAACAAGTGTTTTGTATTGAATTTCAAATCTGAGACTGAAAGAAATAATCGTAGTTAATTAAAAGTGTTCGTATTATAGAATTTAAAGAAAGTAAAAAGAATACGAACAAAAGTTATTTCAAATATTAATTTTATACTATAGAAACATTTATTGTTAATTCCCATTCAATACAACATTTTATTCAGACAATATAGTAAGATTATAATGGTTTTTTCAATAGAAATTTCATATTCTTTACATGATTTAGTTAAGATTTCTATCCTCATGTAATAAATAAGTAATGTATAAAATTCTAAAAATAACTTTTAAATAGACATAAATCAATTACGCGTGGCTTCATATCAGAAGCAACTGACGCGGGAACATTCCTAACTGTCTAATCGATTGTTACTTGAGACAATTGCCATTCGATCGGGCATGATAAGTAGTAAACAAGTCTGTCTGTTTTAGTTTCATTTTCCGGTCTTCACTTGTCGAGTTATCAACATTTTACTCAATTTTCGCTCGATGAGCAAAGAATCAGTGAGAATCTGGATGATCAAACTTCAAGCTGAAACATTGTCTATAGATAGGCCTTATAATCACCAGAAATACCTCAAAGTTTCAACTAGAATGATTCGATCATCCAAATTTACAGCAATTCTACACCCATAGAGCACAATTCGAGTAACACTCCTATAACTCGAAAAGCGAAGACCTCAAAAACAAACTTTCTTACTACTTATCATGACCGATCGAATGATATCAGTCTCAAACGAAAAGCGATTGGGCATTTGGAAACATTTCTTCGTGAGTAAGAGTCTCGGATACTAATTTGATTTTCAAAATTTTTTGAATATAATTCTAAACGTCATAGCTAAAAAAGACACATCAACTAGATAAGCAATGTTTAAAAGGTAAAACTTTTTGTTAGTTTAATATTATCACCAAGGAATAAATCATGATGCTATGACAAAATAAAAGTAACATTACATTCCAACAAAAGCGAACTGATGCAATAGTTTTTTTTTTGGTTTTATGTTTATCGAAAATATTTCTCCATTCTTTGATATTTTAATAATCGACTGCAGACTGTTAAGTATATAAGATCGGCTGAGATATTTCGTTATTATTAAAATATTTTATGATATGAAGAAAATATGATAGTGTGTCATTTAAGTTTATCCTCATTAATCTTATGCAATTTTTTAATAACTTTATCCAATCAGATATAATAAAATAAGATGCTTAGCATAGCCTCAATTTGAGTAAGAAGATTTTCTTCCAGTGGCAAATTTAGAGAGAGGCGGCACTGGGAACGACCGCCTCTTGTTTTTGAAGTATTTTTCGATTTTTCTCAATAAAAAACGCCTAACAATGAACTGACATGTCCTCTCATCTGACTTCAAAACATGTTTTCTGACTATGATTACCCCCATTTATCAAAAGTCTAGATTTGTCACTATATTCTCTTGTAGTCTGACTTTTCTTATTTATCATTATAGTCTATTTATTTATTTTTAGTATCGTTCTATTCCTTAGAGAAAATAAAAAAGTCAAAATCTTACTTTAAATGGATCAGCTTTGGCCAATCGATCACTACTACTTCCACTCTCTGACAAAGTACCTCCTTTCTAAAACATTCGAAAATATAAGAAAAAAATTTAAAGCAAACAAAAGAAAAGCACAATCATCTTTACCTCTGTTGAAAAACCTTCAACAAGAATAGCAACAAGTAAATTAAATAGAACATAGTTTCCAAATGTCATCAATGCAATAAAATATAAAGCTGCCCAACCACTTGTTTTTTCCATTCCATTATAAAGTACTTCATTCCAATCTTCTTGTGTCAACACCTATTTGAAAATATTTAAGTAATATACATAAAAACAAGACAAAATATTGCATAAGCGATCAACAATTAAAAGAAAACATAAAAAGCTGGATGAACTTTATATATATGCGAAACAAGAAGAAAAGCAAATAATGCTATATGTATATGTATATATAAATATATGGTATATAAAGCTAAGAAGAAGAAAATAATAGGTAACTAAAAATGCTAGATTTAATTGTATATGCAATATTGTATCATACAATTGATACCTGAAAAACGGTTAATAATGCAAAACGTAATGAATCGAAATTTTTTCTCTCTTGTATACAATTTAAATCTTTGAGTTCAGTATGATTTTTCAATAAATCCATTTCAATACACGCGCAACAACGACATTTCATGTCAAATTGTTCACGTGATGTTAAATTGAATGCTTGTAATGTACAAAATTCACCACCAAATAAATGCATACCAAGAATACTATATATTAATTATCGAAAAGAAGAAAACAAAAACACAACAAAACAAAAGAGAATTATTTTGTGCAATTGAAAAAAAATAAACGAAAAACATTGAAAGCGTAGGCATCATATTTAGGAAAACAACTGGAGGTTATCTTTTCTTTCTTTATGTGTATGTGTATATTTATCTTTGTGAAGGGTTTTTTTTCTTCCATATAGACATCAATAACAACATAGAAAGGCAAACCCCATAGATAACATGTACGAATAGAAACTTTATTTTATATGGTGTATGTGTATGTGTGTGTTTTTAATTACTTGAAATACAGTTAAAGTTGCCCATAAAAGAGAATCGAAGTTTTTTCGTGAACACTCGAAGTCAATACGTTTGCTGGGTTCTATTTCGATGTATTTGCAAAATTTGCAACCGAAGAGATTCATACCCAAAATACTGGACGAAAAATTTTTTTTTCGTTATTTTTAGAGATAGATTAAATCTATTAGAAATCGAAGAATATGTAAAAAAAAAACCAAGTGTATCTTTGATTGAATTCAAATTTAAATAATTATTATTGTTTTCTTTTGGTTTTGTTCTTATGTATGTCAATGATTTGATTTTATACATATTCTCAGATTTTTAATAGCTAATAAAGATATCAAGTAAATTCACGCATTAGTTGACACTTACCTGAAGATAAAAATAAATAGTATCAATAGAGAAAAAAATGTTGCGACATTATCCATTGTTTTTAGCATGACAACCTAAATTTTAAAACAAAAATTCAATAAATATAATCTTTTGTAACAATTGTTCAACTTAACAAAAAGTAAAAGAATACGATGAATTTCGTCATATACTCTCAGCAAATGTTGAAAGGGTATCTGTTCAGATTAGATACAATCCTAACTAGGATTCTCGATTAGGAAGGGAATGAACCTTCGCACCCTAAATGTCCAACTTTGCGAACTTTTTACAGCTTCATGATAATTTTGATTTTGAAACGCTATTTGCCTTTCCCGGGCAGAAAGTGCAATAAAAATAAGCAAACAGTATGGTTGCTAGACAAATAGAATTGAGCAGATCTCGAAGACAGGACGGCCTAATGGCAGGTCATCTGTTATGAGAGTAGCCGGATCACAGTAACTTTCGTGTTTCTCCTCCGCTCCCCCCCCCCCCTTCGCTTCTTTCTCTCTCTTAAGAAAAAGTTGCACTATCAATTTATAATGTTTGTATCGATATTCTTTTTTATAATTAATATCAAATATAATTATGATGCATATAGTCATAAGTATTTTCTTCTACTTAATGATTCAATATGACCATATCAACATAATATTTTTTTTTAGTAAACATTTATCAGAAATAATGAATAAAAAAAACAAAAAAAGATATAAGTATATATTTGTTATCGCACAAGTGATCTAAAGATGATATAGATAAAAATGTCTCAACAATCAACAACAGATAATTTCTTTAATGCCAATGATAACAACAAGATCGAAATCAATAATAACACAGAAGTTTCAGCTGCTATTTCTACACTGTCTGTTAATCAAAATTATACCATGATTAATTAATGCACCCATCAACGATTAATTATATTGAATTACATATTTCAAATCAGCTGGCTAAGCAAGATTTTTCATTATTAACTTGACTGTTAACAGAAAAGTTGTACAAAATGTAAAAATTCGATCAATCTGCCAACACTCATGGCTATGCCAAATATTCTTGGCTGGTATATACAACAAGGAATCAATCAGTTTCTTGCCGATGCTATGTTCTATTTTCAAGGAAAGGAAAAAGTCAGTGTCTTATTCAATTTTTTAATAGAACATTAAGATAAATTGAAAGATGCTATTGATTATTTATAGAATCATGACAAAATGTAAATATCATAAATATTCCATTAGCAAGCAATCAAATGCATAAATCATTATTCTCATCCAAATTCACACGTCAAATATCCGTGCCAACAGATACTGTTGAGCGTTCACTTTTTGTAATAAAGTTAATTGAAATTTATATGAGTAATAGAAGAAGTAACGGAAGACTTAGTAATTTGACTGCTATCAATATTCATAAGAACATCACTTCATAACTAAATATCGAAAATATTTTAGATGAATTTCCCCAAATCATAATGTTGGTTAAATCTTTGTTCTATTATACATACTCTTCTTATCATTTTTCACAATACAGAATACTTATCAAATATGAATAAAGCTGAATACAAATAATTAGAATCATATCTATTGTAAGCCAGCAAAATTCTCATTAAAACAAGATGAAAAAATTCGATCTGTCACCTGTTCATTGCTTTTAGTACTCTGCTGATGAAAGCACTTTTCCGAGAGAGATTGTGAGTCTTCTACCAAATTTTTAGTTTCTAGCACCTCTACAAAATATCGAAAACCCTGGTTCTAGCCCGTACCTACGGATGTATGGTTATGCTAATCATAACAATCAGTATACGGAAGGCATTTTTAAGCAGAAAAATGCTGGCAAAAGTTAGTGTAACGACATTCCTGCTTCCTTATTTTTCACTCAGGCTAAAAATATGTCCCTCATTAAATATAAATTTAGAAACATAATGAACTAGACCAACGTTAGAAGACGACGTTGAGTCAACTCATCTTTTAGAATAATAGAAACAAAAAATTTTCTATCTGTGTGTCTAATATGTTCAACACCGACAATTTCCATAATCAAATCAATTTCTGCATAAATTTGAGTCAATATTATTTTCATTGATAGCTTTGGTTTTCTTTTTAATTATCGTTCTCTAGTTTTGTTGTTCATGTACTCTCCATTTTGAAATATTAGAAAACTAATCGTTGTTATTTTTTCTCTTTGCAATTTGCAAAAGAAAAAAGAAAAGCAAAATTCATTACTAAATATGCTTTCATATAATATAAAAAAACAAAAAGCAGACAGAAGTGCTAAAGAATTCATTCCCAAGGGTGAAGACGAACTACTAACATTACTGGCTTTTTTTTCTGCTTCAATGAAGCAAAGTCGAAATTAAGCTAATCCATTTTATCTATTTTCAAAGCTATGTATATGTATGTGTTTTCTAATTTACTTCTAGTTCAATGAATAAAAAAGCAGAATAATTAATTGAAACATTTTTCTTACTAATTGACGTCTCAAAGTTGGCATAAATCGAACAAGTTTTAATACACGTAATAAACGAAATGTACGTAAAACAGATAAACCACTATTTTGATTTCCTTGTAATTCAATAACACTCATTATAACAATGGCACCATCAAATAAATTATATGCATTTTTAATATATTTTAAACAACCATCAGCAAGAATCTTTAATATCATTTCAATAGCAAATAATGATGTAAATACTAAATTACTATATTCTAATGCATTTGTTAAAGATGGTGGTTGTCCATGATATTCAATACCCATTGATAATGTATTAATAACAATAGCTGACAAAACAATACGACGAAAATATTTACTTACAACAAAATCTGATATTAATTGACGAATTTTTGTTACATAAGTTAAACAATATTGATGAAATAATATATTTATTTTTGATTGTTTTTTTTCTTTTCTTTTCTTATTAATATCATTATCATCATCATTATCATCTTCATCATCATCATCATCCTCATCGCCCTCATCATTGTTCTCTTCAGTAAGATTATCTTGTTGTTGACATTCACAAAATTGAATATTTGTTTTTTTATTCATTGTTTTATCTAATAAATTTTCAACCATATTATTCGCTGAAGGAATTGTATTTATATCTGGACAAATAAGTTCAGTAATATCAGTTGATTTTTTTTGACGATTTCTTGATAATATTGGTGATAAAGTTGATGTACCTGAACTATTAACTAATTGAGACTGTAGAACAGTTTTAAGTTCAGGAGTTGGACTTGGTGGATTTGTTGAATCAATTATATCAGATAATTCAGGACTAGCTGCTGGAGCATTAATACAAAATGGATTTATTGATGATGGTGTTGATGGATATGCTGGTTGATAAAGTCGACAATTAGGCCTATGGATTATATTCAGATTAGATAATGGTGATGAATTTACTGTTGAATGAATTTGAATTTGCAGTGAAGAAGAATTTTTAGTATTTACTCTTGTTGATGTTTTTCGACGATTTTTTTTAACATTCAATAAACCTTTTTTTTGATTAACCTTTAAATAAAACAAAATTTTAAATAAAAGAAATAAAATATGTAAACAATGTGATCGATCAATAGATTCTTAATATAACTTTTTTCTTATCATCTTACTTTTGTATGTTTTTTTTTATAATGTTTCCATAATATAATTAAACGTTGATATCCACGATGCCATAAACGTTCAAAATATTTAATTGTTTCTTCCCAACATGAACCTGGTTCATCACTAATTAATGTACTTGATGAACGTGAAAAACGTCTTCGTTCAGCTAACATTCGTTCAGTTTCACGTTTTTTAGTCTCACTAAATTGTGTTGCTATAACAACAAGACATAAATTAATCATAAAAAATGAACCAATTATAATAAGAAAAACAAAATAAATCCAATCCCAAAATGAATGAGCATCTTGTATGTAATACATTATATTAACCCAACTTTCAAGACTAATTATCTAAAGAAAGAATATAAATAGAAAAATAACAAGAAAAAACTAAAGATTGATTATTACTTGAAATATAACAACCCATGCTAAACCAATATTATCAAAACTAATTGAACCTGAAAATGGATTTTTATCAGAAACATTACAAAATTTATAATATTGATTCCAATCAATACAACCATTTACTGCTTTATTTGGATCAGCTATTAATTGTGCATGTAATGTATAAAAGTCAAGTTCGCATGTCATATTTCCTTTTCGTAATTTAGGAATTTCAGAACATTTTGTCATTCCACTTGATTGCGGATGTGAACAAACGAATGAATCGTGATCAGTTGGAATATAAAACGGTCGTAAAGGAATATCACTAAGACAAAAACAAAAACATTTATTGATTTTTTTTTTCTTTTGTTCTTTGTTCACATACTGGAATAATGTATGATTAAGTATAGATGTTGTATTTAATTGTGAAAAACAACGATTACGTAACAAACCTTTCCATAATTGCACACCAACAATACCAAATATAAAGAAGACAAAAAAACAAAGAAGTAAAACATTTCCAAGCATTGGTAATGTATCAAGTAAAAGCATAACTAATATGCGCATGGATGGTACACGATTAATGGCACGTAATGGACGAAGAACTCGTATTGTACGTATAGCTGATAAACTTAAATTATCACCTGGTATTACCGATTCAATTAATCTACATTAAATATTAACAAGAATTCTTTTATTTTCATTTTTCTCTTAAAAATAAACTTACCCAGAAATAACAATAAAACAATCAAGTCTATTCCATGTTTCAGCTAAATATGTACCTTTACCAAATATTCCCATAGCTATCATTTTAATACACATTTCAATAGTAAAAAATGCAAAAATAAAATAATCCGTTGCTTGTAACCATAAACAACGTACAGTATCGCATTTTTTTGCTACTGGTAAACCGCTATGATGTGCACATGGTTGATACATACCAAGTGTTACACAATTAAGTAAAATAACAAACATACTTATACGTTCAAACCATGGCCATGTTATTAATTGTAAGCATTGATAACGTAATGGTGTTGTTTGTCTGAGACAATAGAAAACTCGATCAACAAAACCTGGAAATGGTAAATCATTATCATCTGTTTCTTCAAGATTACGTGAACGTGGTAGATCAGATATAATATTTGACGATGCATGTTCAGTTAAAAAACGATCCGTTTCAAGTATATTTTTATCATCATTTGATATTGGAACTATTGTTGGTGAGGATGAACGATAACGATTATTTATATTATTGATGGTATGGTTTTTATTGTTGGTGGTTGTCAAATGAGTTTTATCCATGATCGAGCAAAAATTCTTGCTGCATCATCTGAATGGAATAGGTGATGGTGACAGTAACAGAAGTCGACACCGATGGGCATCTACATATATATATATATATATATACACATATGTATGTATGAAAAAAAAACTATAATAAACATTATTGATGTGTTCTATGTCAAAAAAAAAAAAAAAAAAGAAGTTCGTATAAGTATATTGTCATTAGTTGCTCAAGATCTCATTTATTTCAAACAACTTTAATGTACAGGTACAATACTAACATCATATTCCATCAAATTACAAAAGACGACATGTATATTTATACATGTATGTGTGAATATAGAGTAAAGAAAACATGTTGTTAATAAGACGATAGAAAAAACTATGACCTTGTTATGACTTACATCGAGTCGACAGAAAATAGCTAGGAGGTAAAATTTGCTACATATTCCATTACCATCCTAGTTCTTGTTATTCTTGACTTTTTTTTATACTTAAATATTTTATCGATCTAAAAAAAAAAGAAAGAAAAAGAAAAGAAAGTATACTTCAGTTTAATAAACGAACGTCAATCTTTTTGTGTTTCTACTAGCATTGTCTTATCTTTGTATGTGCTTATAACAAAATATCGCTGAGTAACAATATGAAAATCTCTTGGGAAATCTTATAGTTCATTGTCATCATTGTCTTCGTCGACAACGAGTAACTTTTCACATTGAATGTGTTGTAGATGATAGTAACGGAAGATGCACATAAGAACATAAATATATATATATATAAATATATATATATAAAAATAGACTAGTACCTCTCTCTCTCTCTGGGTTTGAAACATTGTTTATTTTCTATTCGATTCAATATCATTCTCTCTTGTGAGCACATGCGTGTGAGCATGCAAATACATGTATTCTTCTTAAACTTGTTGTAGCTTTTTCAAAAATATATGTTTGCTTAATAATAATGTCTACGATCGAGAAAGGAAAATAATAAAGAAAAAAAAAGATGATAATAAAGAGAAAAAAAAGCAACAATAGGCTTTTGTTTTTTTGCTCTCATTTTGTTAAAGTAAGTCTCTTAAAAGTCATAATCAACAAAGAAAATAGAAATATATTTAAACAAAAAGAAATTTTCAAAAAAGAAGTTAGTTAAAAAAATGACTATTGATCCTATTTCATTGACTTAGGGGTTTCTCGGATACCCTCATTTTCTATTATTCACTTTGTCTGATCTGGTTACGCCTTCAATTTCTTCGATCTTTCCGTTTTTTCTTTCTTTTTTTTCTTCAATTAAAAAAGCAAAATCGATAAGGTCAAACAAGAAAAAGAGTGAGAGAAAACTGCTGATACAACAACATATATGACGTCTCATTAGAATCAAGAAAGATCAACATTAACTAAATCATACGGGTGGAAACAGCATGATCAAATGGGTAACCGGTATATATAGTAAATTTGGTTGTAAAATACAAAAGAAATCATAAATATGATTCGAATGAAAAATGATGAAAATGACTTCAACGACTAGCGGCAGTAATGCATGCTTGTATTTAATACAAAAAAAAAAAAAAAAAAAGAGAAGTATATTGATTTCAGTTTGATTTCTTTTCTTGTTTTCTTATCGATCAGAATTGATGATGGGGGGTAATATTAGTGCATTACTCTATGAAAGTTCTCTCGTTTTCTCTCTCTCTATCCTCGTTAACATCAGAACACAAACATACAAAAAAAGGATTTCATTTTTTTTTCATATTAGCATGCATTACAAAACGGGTAGAACTGCTGTCATTCAGTGTTTACATAGAATTGAGATGACATGAGATGAGAACGGATGGTAGCTCTTGGCATGATAAAGTTCGTATTATGAGTAATACAACAAAAATAATAATAATAATAATAATAATAATAATAATGACAACAACAACAACAGCAACAGCACCAACAAACAACGTACTGAGGAAGGGTTAGTTTTGTTAGCTGCTAATTAGAAGGCACAAGCGCAATGCGAAGAAGGCAAAAAGCCAAATTTGGTTTCTCTCGCTCTTCCTAGCTCTCTCTCTCTCTCTCTCTCTCTCTCTGCCTCGTTTTTTTCACTCTCTTCGCAGATGATTTTCATCGAAGCAAAGAGGCGATAAGGCGAGAGCATGGGACGACATCAACTGAGGTAGAGCAATGATTAATTTGACACTGTCGTCAACCAATGATGATGATGATGATGACGACAAAATGAATGGAAACCAGCCTGACGACGACTTCTAGAGAATGGATGATGATTTCGAGATGTGTATGCTGAAAGTGGGCGGTATTCATATATGAGTTCTAGAAGAATAAGAAAAATAAGCATCACTACTATTGTCTATGATAGATTTTACCTTTTTTATATATAATGTATATTCTATTGCCTGTCATCTTTCTTTTATTATTTCCATAATTTAAATATAAACAACAGGATTAGTGTGCATAGTGGAATCTGTGAATACATATATATGTATGCAATGCATGCTTATGTTGTTTGTTGCAAAGATCTTATTTAATACAATTAGAAGTCACGCGTGTATCTGATCCGATCATCGACTCCGATTCACTCTCTGTCATCATTGATTAGGGAACATAGGAATGAAAATGAAGAAAGCTGTTTTAGAGCAACAATGATGAAAACAATGATGACAACAATGTCATTTTTGATGGCCTTTTTGTAGTCCATCGTTCTGTATTATTGAAAATAACACATTTTTTTCTGCTATTAAATAATCAATAAGAAATCATGACGACTAAAACATCACTGACTGAAAAGGAATGCAACACGATAACCTTATTAAAATGACGGATTTCCTTTTCTTTTGACTAATAGATAAGAACTACTAGTTCGTATTCGTGTTCAAAACAAAATTAGCTTTTGACAAGTCAAAAGTAAATGCACTACACCAATACACCACAATGATACAATGGCCAATTTCCTTAGCAATATAGAAAGATTTTTTTTTTCTGCTTTCTCTACTTTACCGAAAGTAAATAAGAAGGAAGTTCGGCTTACCTGTTAGTGACGTCTTTTAGAAAGATGATGATGTGATGTTTTCTATACAAGGTTATGCTCACAACAGACGTATTTTCCTTCTTATTGCACTGCTGCTGTTTATTGAGACTACTTCAAAACCTTTATCCTGTGCTTTCGTGCGTTTTTCTTCTTATATTTCTTTTTCTTCGCTTTTTCTTCCCTCTTATAATTTTTTCTATCGTTGGGTGTCGCTTGGTCGTTCATTCATTCAAAAAAAAAGGGAAATTAATTGTTATGTTCTCTTATTCTTTCTTTCTTACTCTCTCGATTTCTCTTTCTGTTAAGTTTTCCTGCATTATATCTCGTTTTCTTTTTGTTGGACACTCAAATGTAAAGGAACGCTATTGCTACTTGTTGATCTGCCTGCAAGGTTGTCTACTTCCGGTTTGTTTCCACCCGAGAAGTTCGATAACGATGTGCAAATGTATGCACGTGTATATACAGACTGAAAGTTGATCGACAAAAAATGCAAGCATTACTACCATCTTAATGTTGTATGCTTGTATTTGTTCTCTTTAAGTTTTACTCAGGAGAATATCATCATCATCATCATCATCATTGCTGTCATCATTTTCTTTCCATATACACATGTTAGCACGCGTGAAAGCTACTAAGCACATTATACTAACTATAGAAAGAGAGAAAAACGAACTGAAAGAAACAGCAACAACATCAACGACAGCGCAGAAGAATAGTAGCATACACGCACATAAATACATAAAATACATCTCTATTATGAATGACACAATCCACCATCGTTTTGATATAATGCAAAATAAGTCAAGATTTCGACGCCTACGCTTGCTTATATCCATCATACATACGCTTGATCGATAATACGTTTTCACACTTGCAAGTCTATCATCGAACTTACTTATCTCTTTACTAACAATGATCACGACTCCCCTGCACACAAGAGACAATAACACGAGAGAAGAAAACGCAGCAACATTGCGAACTGAAGGAAATAAGGGGAGAGGGAGAGAGGGAGGAGAGGAGAGAGAGAGAGAGACAGACAGACAGAAGAGAATAGAACCCCCAAAAAAATGTAACAAAAAAAGATCTCATCAAGTCGAAGAAAACATGACATATATATACGTACACATGCAGAGAGATCCAGCCGAGTTCACTAACAGCAACAGCATCAGAATGATTTCTCATTCAACCATCTGTGAGCGATTCAGAACGAAAGAAAATGAAGGAGTAGACAGAAAACAGAGAATACCAAGCGCTAGAATATCAAATGACATTTAGACGACTGACAGAAAATAGCAATAGAAATATCTTCGTAAATATTTTGACTTGACACTATGTCTCTGACGAGATCAAACTCTTACGTTGTCTATTTATTGACGCAACAGATCGTAGATTTATTTGATGTCTAAAAACGACTGGCTTTCAAATTAAATAAATCGATTAATCATTCTATTTAGATAGATAAATTGTTCAATTATTTGTTAATTATTATGTAGCCATCTATGAATAGTAAAAGAAACAATAACTATTCTTGTCGATGTCACAGCATCATCATCCTATCATCAATATTATTCATTGATCATCTATTGAATCTCGAGCGACCATGCAATGACGTCCTTTTACGGATGTGCTTTCAGATCTGCAAGACCGTTATTCTCTCTTGACGCCGACTGATGGATTGAGTATCAGAAAAGAGGATAAAAAAAGCAAGAGAAAGGAGAGACCGAACGAATAAAATGAGAGAAATTTATTGGCTCTCATCAAAGCCTTACACGATGACTACCATCCATTATACACCACTAATAATGGCTTACATTAGAAAAAAAGAAGAAGATATATAACACTAGAGACAGTCTAGTGTAAGAATCATGGATAAACCATTGATTATACTTCGGCTTGTCGAGACCTACATAATGTTTTTCTCAAGTACTTACCATCCATCAGTACCATCAAATTTTCTTTGCGAACAGCATGTAATTCATCAATCAATA